ATAACAGTATACAAATATAAGTTCAATTTTGTTATTGCATAAGTTAAATTTTATGCAGTTTAATATAATCTAATTATATGCCTATCTTTTATAACATCTATATAACACACACATAGGACTATTACAAACTCGTCATTAATGATTTTTCGAAGTGTGGAATCCCAAATTGAAACTCTTGTAGGAGAAAGGTATAATAGTTGGACAACGAAGCAGGATAAAACCTTTAAACATGCATATGAGTTTTTTTATGTGAGTCTCAATCATTCGGTTTTCAAATTTTAATAAGGAATTTGATGTTCATACTGGTTGATCACTTTATGTCATTGGATATATGTTGGCACAAGATGGTTTGGAGACTTGTTCACTATGTTATTTTTCTTAACACTTGCTTTGCAATCAATCCTCAAATTAAATTATTGTCAAAAAAAGAAAAGAGAAAAAAAGTGAAGGCCAAGGTTTTGTCCACATTGGTATGAAACCTTCCTTATTAGGTTAACAACTCGGATTCAACTCTTGCCCTCTCTTATTCCTTTTTTGACTTAATACATACTATTGTAACATGTATACGTAATCCAGGGATCTAATATGGGGCCATAACTTAATACAACGATTGAATTGAAAGGGAGTTTCATCTATGCATTGCTTAATATTATTCTCTCCTTTGTGCATTGCTTATCCTAAAATAAATGCAAGTAGGGTGCTTTAGACGATGCCACACAGCCTGTAATCTTAGGAGAATGCGTTATACACCAGCATAGTTGAGAACGGCTCAACATTAAATAGGTAAACACCTGCACTATAAGAGTTGAGATGGGCCAAAAAAGGTTAGTATGAAAATATTTGAATCAGACGCTGCACCTTCTCTACAGCTAAGACCTCGTTAAATTGTAACCTAACGGTCAACAAGACCAAGAAATAAATCTTCATTCACACCATAGCCAACCTACTGTACTGTTCGAAAGGAAAAAGAAAAGAAAAAAAAAATATACTACACAATTTAAATGAAACTCAAAAACTGTAATTCATATACATATTATCCCTTCAATGAGTGTTGGTTGATGATTTCACTGAAAAAATTGATAGAATTCACACATTCAAGAAATAATATGCATTTAATTGATTGTAATTTTTTGAATTTCATTTGATTGTTTACCATTATTCAAAAAAGAAAACCTACAGTCTGTATGAGGCTGTACGTATTTCTATATTATTCTCATGGATTCCTATGAAGGTTCTTTACTTTACTTCCCAGACATACCGTTCCCATTTGAATATTACTGCTTTATGGCATATGAGTCACCAGTCACTCTCTCTCTCTCTCTCTCTCCTACTAGACTAGTATAAATACCCCCGATCCATGAGAGTTCCACAAAGCCATCACTCCTGTAGCATCTATTTGTCTTGTGCTTTAGCCCATTCAAGCAGGTCACTCCAAATCAAATTTGCTTTCTAGCTTACATTTACAGGCAAAAGAAAATGAAGCTCGTCTTTTCAACTTTGCTTATTGTTTCGCTGGTTTTGTGCTCCTCTCTCCTTCAACCTACCGTGGCTGACATAAGTATGATCCTTCACTGACCACTGCTTTTATTTACTCTCTTTCCCTTTCTCTCTCTCTCTCTCTCTCTCACACACACACACATACACACACTGAACTGAACTGAATTGGTTTGTTGTGTTTTACCGATTTGACTGGAAGGTACTTGCGGCACGAGGTGTGGTGTGAGGCAAAGCAGGAGAAACGAAACGTTGCTTGCAAGAGTGTGGGATATGCTGCAACAAGTGTGACTGTGTGCCTTCAGGGACATATGGAAACAAGTCGGAATGTCCTTGCTACAGGGACATGTTGAACAGTAAGGGCACATCCAAGTGCCCTTAGAACAATTCATACCTAACCATTTGCCTCTTTCTTTGTCTCTGGTCAGTTTAGTTTGGTCATTGTTTTGTGGCTTTGCTTGGTTGTATGGAAGTACTTTTCTTCGTTTTCGAGTTAAATAAGAAAAGAAATGTACTTCTAATATGCAAAACCAAAGCTGCATAAGTAGATTCTATTCTGATTATTGTTGTCAAGCAAACATTATGTTTGTTTTGATAACGGTGGAATAAGTCGGATTCATTGTCCGGGATGTGATATGGTGTTGATTATTTGTATTACGTACACTGGTCTTTTTTCATGTTATTCAAGTTTTTATATGATTATGTATTTTTTTTCCAACCCCCACGCTGATTAATTTGATAATTGAATAATGGGCAACCGTGAACTCTTACATTNAAGTTTTTATATGATTATGTATTTTTTTTCCAACCCCCACGCTGATTAATTTGATAATTGAATAATGGGCAACCGTGAACTCTTACATTAAAAAATGAGGTTGGAAGAATTATCTATCTCATCTGGTAGGCGTGGTGGCATGACCATTTGGAATTAGAGTAATAACTTTAAGGCGATAACTTTTTTTCACATTTTTCCCTCAATTTGTTGCTCCATTATTTCTCATCATCTTAATTATTAATTTATGTTATATATTTAACATAAAATTATTTTATTTTGCCCCTCAAATTATATAATATTTTTTACTTTGTCTAGACACATCGACAATTTTTGTCCAAAAAGATAGCGAACAATTGTGATTATGACAATGTAGAATAATTTGAGTACTTGAGGAAGTAAACTAAAAAAATTCAATAGTTCAAATGATAAAGTAAAATCGAGTCCATAGTTTAGAGGGTCAAAGTATAATTTATCCTAAAGGTTAAATAAAGTGCATTCACCCTGCTATAATGCTAATTTGACCCAATGAGTGTCTAATTTGATTATCGTCTGTTGTCACCATATAGGATGGTATCGAACCATAAAATATTATAATTCATTGTTAATTTATCTTTACACAGACTTACAAATTTAACTTGATGATATGATTGTTATATTTATCATTGATTTAAATGTGAGTTCTAATATTTATTGGGATTCACTATCTATTCAATAAGAGTGATTCATCAAAACAAGTTTTTAAATCAATTTTTTTTAAGTCTATTTAACATTTTCCTATTTTTATCTCACTTCTAACCATTAGAGTTTTGATTCACATGACTATCTTAAAATTAGACAAATGGGCCAGAAATGAAAGGAGTAAAGATGGTCACTAAAAGGAGAAAAGCCCACCTGAGAGTGGCTCAGTGGTGATAGAGTTATCCCTCAACTCTCTCAGTTCTCACTATTAGGAGAGGTTTTATGCACTCGATAAGGTTTTTAAAGATAATAGTAATGACTGAATTTAGCGTAAGACACTGCTATATAGCAACTCATGTGGAATGGCTTGTCCATCAAGAAGTCTCTCTTAAACTTATAATGACTGAATTTAGTACANCAACTCATGTGGAATGGCTTGTCCATCAAGAAGTCTCTCTTAAACTTATAATGACTGAATTTAGTACAAGATGAAGGTTTATTTGCATGTTTACAATTTCTCATACTGAGCAAATATGAAACCGACAATTTAGTTACAAAGTTATCTCACAACCTTGATCTGGTAAATGGAAATAAGTTATCTCCAACGATATATCCCAAAACAACAGGCAAAGAGCATCCATACCTCATTAAAATAACAAAAGAGGCATAAGTAACTATGATTAGCAAGAATAAATACTACCATTCATAACTTGAGAAGACTCCAAATTCCAAGTTGGAACTTCCGGGCCATATTTGAATGCCCCCCCCCCCAAAAAAAAACCCAAAACACACACACACACACAACAAACACCCCCTTTTTTGGGTAGTAATATAAATAGTCTATGATGGAGCTTGAGTAGAACATATTGATTAATTTCTCGGGGACGAGTCTAGGATTGATATCGATAAATAAATTGGAATAACTTCTTAAGTATATCTTCGATATAAAAATCTAATGGATCAAATTCGGGCAAGTTTTCAATTCAAAACAAAAGAAAAATTTGTTGGAATTGATAAAAATTTTTCGAGTCAAAGTGTATCATGTGGTAATCAACCATTCGTATGATTCTTTGATGGAAACAAATCACAAAAAAGATATNTGTTGATTAATTTTTCGGGGACGAGTCTAGGGTTGATATCAATAAATAAATTGGAATAACTTCTTAAGTATATCTTCGATATAAAAATCTAATGGATCAAATTCGGGCAAGTTTTCAATTCAAAANTATTGATTAATTTCTCGGGGACGAGTCTAGGATTGATATCGATAAATAAATTGGAATAACTTCTTAAGTATATCTTCGATATAAAAATCTAATGGATCAAATTCGGGCAAGTTTTCAATTCAAAACAAAAGAAAAATTTGTTGGAATTGATAAAAATTTTTCGAGTCAAAGTGTATCATGTGGTAATCAACCATTCGTATGATTCTTTGATGGAAACAAATCACAAAAAAGATATGTTGCTGTCATTTTGAAAGGATTAAAAAGCACTAAAGTAATGTCTAAACCCAATGATTTAAATAAAGGGTACCAGAACAAGGAAACGTCGTTTCAATTGTCTCACTACTTAGATCAGAACAAAAAAAAAATCCAAATAGCTTTTAAACGAGACCAAAAAAATGGGGTTAAAGGCCACTCAATAATTTGAGCTATTTGAGAGTTATCCAACTTGAATTAGCACAAATGATTTTTTTATCAGTTTTCAGGAAGCAGGAGGAAGAAAAAAAAGGAATTAAATCATAGTCTAATTGATTTGAGATTTCATGATTTTATGGACCATTTGTCATTCCTTAGAATTCTATACATAGACAAAAAGTTGAATCATTTTTTCCCACCCCTATTCAACCTACTAATTAAAAACTTCATTTTTATTTTGGATTATTTTCCAAGTTCATGACTCCTCAAATTGGTTTCAGTTTCTTGTTTGGATTAAAAACACAGTTACCCTAAAAATATCATGAGTGAGAGAGAGAGAGAGAGAGAGAGAGAGAGAGAGAGAGAGAGAGAGAATATATAGCATCAAAGAAATTTTGGTAAATGACCCTGTAACAATGGATATCCAAGCAAAACAATCACAAACTTCAATCAGGAGGGAGGTACAGGTCTTGGATTAAAACAGTGGTTGCAGCAATGGAATCACCATGTCCTATTTGAATCTCCGTATTATGTGGCCAGATAAAAGAGCCCAACCTTGAACTTATATAGCAGAAGCATTTATAACCCTAAACAAACTTGGGGTATACAAACTGGCAAAATATTTGACTGAGGCTACAGATTGCAACTCTACAAGAATTTTAGCCAACATGAAGTATTACTATGAATCATCTTTGCTATGTTATGATGATGCACTGGCTTTTTCTTGCCATCTTTACCTCCACCTAATCACTGTAGATAAGCTATCTAACATAACCTAGTCATAGATAAAGGATATATCCTTATCAATGATCTGGAGGTGGTTATAACAAGCCCTATCAAGGAGGCTAGCAATCTTAATGCAAGTCCTCAGTCCTCAAATGCTGATTTGAAATTTGTGGGAACTAGTGGAAAAAATAAAGGTGGGCTCATCCGAAAGGCTCATCCATTTCTAGGAAGGGTTCCTTGAAATTGAGTTCTCTGCTCATGCCTCATGTGAAACAGATGGCAAGGAGGGAGAATCGGGCTTCTCGTGTGCAAACAAACAAGAAGCTGAGTGAGAAGGTCATCTTCAGCAATGAAACACCAAAAAGGAACTATGTGGCTGGTGACAACCTTGCCAATGGGGTTGATATAACAAATCAGGGAAAAGATGGTGAAAGCAACCCATGAGATGGAGCTACCTAGCATCCTAGCTGGAGTTAGATACTTAAACAAGGTAATATGGGTAATTCTAATGGTTTGGATCATTATACTAATGCTCCTAAGACCTCTATGAAACTAATTTTTTTGAAACCGAAAGGAGGATAGAGTAGTTGTTTCTCCCCCAACAGAAATTGCACATATTGGTTATGGGGAATGGGAGAATTGTCTGGTTGGTTATTTTATTTGGAAAAAGCTCCCTTTTTATGGTTGTGAAAACAATTGCACTCAAGATATGGAATCACATGGGATTGATAGATGTCCTAGNGACCTCTATGAAACTAATTTTTTTGAAACCGAAAGGAGGATAGAGTAGTTGTTTCTCCCCCAATAGAAATTGCACATATTGGTTATGGGGAATGGGAGAATTTTCTGGTTGGCTATTTTATTTGGAAAAAGCTCCCTTTTTATGGCTGTGAAAACAATTGCACTCAAGATATGGAATCACATGGGATTGATAGATGTCCTAGCCAATGATAAGGGATTCTTTTTCTTCAAATTTTCTAATGAAGCATAATTTAATAAAGTGGTTGAGGCTAGGCCTTGGATCTTTTCTGGAAGGCATTTAAGTCTTCAGAAGTGGCAGCCTAGGATGGAGTTGACAAAGGACTCCCACTCAAAAGTACTGTTTGGGTGAATTTATAGCACTTGCCACTATAATATTGGACAGATNAAGCATAATTTAATAAAGTGGTTGAGGCTAGGCCTTGGATCTTTTCTGGAAGGCATTTAAGTCTTTAGAAATGGCTGCCTAGGATGGAGTTGACAAAGGACTCCCACTCAAAAGTACTGTTTGGGTGAATTTATAGCACTTGCCACTATAATATTGGACAGATGAGGGCCTGAGCTATGTAGTAAGGGTTGTTGGCAAGCCCTTTTTATGTTGTTGATGACTGAAACCAAGAAGAGGATCAACTATGCTAGAATATGGGTGAAATTGGATGCAACACAAGAGTTAGTTGATTCTTTTGATCTCATGCTAAGGATGGAGATATGGAGCATGTCATTGAAATAGCTGCGGAATACCTATGGAAGCCTAGGCTANGCCTGAGCTATGTAGTAAGGGTTGTTGGCAAGTCCTTTTTATGTTGTTGATGACTGAAACCAAGAAAAGGATCAACTATGCTAGAATATGGGTGAAATTGGATGCAACACAAGAGTTAGTTGATTCTTTTGATCTCATGCTAAGGATAGAGATATGGAGCATGTCATTGAAATAGCTGCGGAATACCTATGGAAGCCTAGGCTATGTAAAACATGCCAAATCTTTAGACACAACTAGTCCACTTGCCCTAAATCCGCCTCTAATAATCAACCACAATAGAAGCTTGGAAATGAAAGGAATTGGAACCAGGTAAAAGTATTAGACTCAAGAAGGGGAAATAAATTGCTTCAAATGGTGCAAAAGACACCCAACTAGTGGAGGCTATAAATGGATAAACAACAAACAATGAACAGTAGTGAGGTATGTTTGACTTATGTAATCAGAGGCACAAAGATTAAAGGAAATGACTNAGCAACAAACAATGGACAATAGTGAGGTATGTTTGACTTATGTAATCAGAGGCACAAAGATTAAAGGAAATGACTAGGTTATCCTATACTTTATTTTTCACTTGGAGAGCAAAATTACTTCTTTTTTTTTGTTTCATTTATATATGGTGCAAATAAGGAAAGAGATAGGAGTCTTTTATGGCATAGGATTGTCCAGCACGCAAGGGCTATACCCCATGAGTCATGGGATGTTCTAGGGGATTTTAATGCAATCACAAACCTACAAGAAACAATGGGAGGAAGGGAGAAATGGAACCAAGCCATGGTGGAATTTAATAACTACATTCAAGCTACTAAACTGATTGATCTTAGGTTCATTGGAGCCCCCTTTACTTGGTGTAACAATAGGCATGACACAAACTGCATAGTCAAGAAAATTGACAGAGTTCTCATCAATGAAAATTAGAACCTCCAATTTTTCATGTCTAAAGCTATATTNGTCATGGTGGAATTTAATAACTACATTCAAGTTACTAAACTGATTGATCTTAGGTTCATTGGAGCGCCCTTTACTTGGTGTAACAATAGGCATGACACAAACTGCATAGTCAGGAAAATTGACAGAGTTCTCATCAATGAAAATTAGAACCTCCAATTTTTCATGTCTAAAGCTATATTCCTAACCCTGGCATATCTGACCACAGCCCAGCAGTTGTTAATATGGGCAAGGAGATCAAGAATAGAAGAAGGCCTTTTAGATTCTTCAATTTCCTTGTTGAGAGAANTAAAGCTATATTCCTAACCCTGGCATATCTGACCACAGCCCAGCAGTTGTTAATATGGGCAAGGAGATCAAGAATAGAAGAAGGCCTTTTAGATTCTTCGATTTCCTTGTTGAGAGAAATGATTTTCTTCCCACTGTTAGCAGAGTTTGGGGACAAATTGTAAATGGAACAAAACAGTTCCAAGTATCACAAAAACTCAAGCTTCTAAAAGTTGAGTTCAAAAAGATCAACAAAACTCAAGTGGAGGATGTTTCTATCAAGGCCCAAGAAGCTAAAACAAATCTTGATCAATGTCAAAGAAATCTTAACCAACAACCCCTGAATCTCTTACTCATAACACAAGAGAGACAATTACTTGGAAAATATATTGAAGTTACTAAAGTGGAAGAAAGTTTTTTGAAGCAAAAGTATAGAGTCCAATGGCTTACAGAAAGGGACCTAAATATTGCATTTTTCTTCTGAACATTAACTGCTAGGAGGAATAAAAATAAGATTGTTTCATTAACTAAGCCAGATGGAGTGGTGATTGATACACCTGATGAGATTAAATTGGAGGTGGTGAACTACTTCAAACAGATGCTTGGTGACACAATACAAGACAATGTGAACATGATAGAAATGCTGGAATAAATTAATTGGCATGGCTTAAAATGCACACAAGCTGTACATATGGTCAAAAAAGTCTCAAGTGAGGAAATTGAAGAGGTAGCCTTCTCATTGCACCAAAACAAGGCTTTGGGACCTAATGGGTTCAATGCTTGTTTCTTTAAAAAAGCTTGGACAGTAGTGGGACATGATGTGATTAAGGCTGTCAAGGAGTTCATCAGAACCAGTAACCTTTTGAAGGAGACCAAGAACACTATTCTAACTCTAGTGCCTAAGAATTCTAATCCAACTTTAATGTGGGAATATAGGCCCATCTCATGCTATAATAACCTTTACAAGATTATTTCTAAGCTTATTGTCAACATGATTAAGGTGATTTTGCAGTCCATTATTAGCCTGAATCAATCTGCCTTTGTACCTGGTAGAAGAATTGGTGAAAATGTGTTCCTTGTCCAAGAGATAATAAGGGACTATCATAAGGATGGGGGTCTCCAAAGTGTGCTATCAAAGTTGATTTAATGAAAAGCCTATGATATGGTTGATTGGTAGTTCATTTTAGCTGTGCTGCAGTCCTTAAAGTTCCGTGATAAAATGGTTACTTGGATTCACACATGTATATCTCCTGCCAGATTCTCAATTTGTCTTAATGGAGGACTCATAGGGTTTTCCCTAGTAGCAAGGGCATTAGGCAAGGAGATCCTATCTCTCCTTTATATCTTTATCATTGCTATGGAGGCTTTAACCCAAATTATCAAGAAAGAGAAGTGCAGCTGAGAAATTCAAGTATCATTGGAGGTGCAAGCAGCAAAAACTGGTCCAAATTGAGCTTTGCAAATGATCTTACTCTTTTTTGCCATGGGGACCCTACATTAGTGAGTGTACTTAAGAAGGCTATTGATAAATTCTAAGTTATTTTTAGATTAAGAGCTAACTCACTAAAGAGCCAAAATTTCTTAGCTGGAGTAAAGACAGCACAAGGATATTATTTTGCAAAGTTTGGAAATTAATGAGAGGAAATTACCTGTCAAGTATCTTGGGATTCCCCTCATCTCTGCCAAATTAAAAGCCAAGAATTGTGCTGCCCTTATTGAGAAAACTGAATCAAAAATTCAATCCTAGACAAACAAATCATTGTCTTATGCAGGAAGGGTGCAATTAATCAGGTCTGTACTCAACAACGTTCAAAGCTATTGGCTTTGCCGCCTAATCATACCTAAGGGTGTTCTTACAAGAATTGAGTAGCTGTTAAGGTCATTCTTGTGGAGTGGCATTGAGCTTAAGCTTAAGGGTGCTAAGGTTGCTTGGTTAGAGGTGACTAAACCTAAGAATGAAAGAGGTTTGAGGTTCAAGAAGTTACAAGACTGGGACAAAGTACTAATGATGAGGTACATCTGGTTCATTTTAAAAAGTCAATTTATGGGTCGAGTGGGTACGTATAAACTATCTTAAAAGGTAGGATCTTATGGGGACTTAAGATTCCACAAGTGTGCTCATGGAATTGGAAGAAGATCATTAGAATAAGAAAGATAGCTTGGCCTTTGATCCAACATATTATTGGTGATGGAAGGACTACAAATCTCTGGTTTGATAATTGGCACCTTCTTGGGCCTTTACACCTTAAGTGTCCAAATATATCTGCGGAGGCCTTGGGACTTGATGTGGATGCTAAAGTGGAAAGTGTGATTACCATGAACTAATGGAAGTGGCCCAACAATCTTCCTAGTGGAGTCTTGGATGTCCAGAGCTCAATGCCAACCTATATGACCAACTCTCAGGTCAATGATAAGGTGAAATGAACTGTTGATCCTAGTGTACTCTGTAAAATCTGCCTGGGTTAGGATGTATACATCATCACTGAAGGTTAGATGGCATAAGATTGTATGGTTTGGTCAATCAATTCTGAGAGCTAGCTTTATCCTTTGGATGGCTATCTTGGAGAAACTGAGTACTTGTATTCAGAATTTGGAGCCTTCATATTTACTATGCAGAAGTGAGATTGAAGATTATCAACACCTCTTCTTTACTTGCCCAATATCTGCAACTATCTAGAACCAGGTGCTATAGAAATGTGGACTTTCTTGTGCC